ATTGAGAACAAAAAAAAAAAAAAAAAACTCTCATTCTAATGATGGAATTAAATGTTACAAGGAACAAATAAAGTGAAATAGAGCCAAGGCAAATGATAGACAAATGATCATTTGAATTACAAGAAAAGGCACATCAGCAAGATAAACAATCCCGCTCCATATCTTTCACTCCTAACAGTATTTGCAAAATCAAATTTAAAAAGAAACAATGAAAAATTATAAATAGGAAGTTGTAAATGATAACACAAAAATGAGAAAAAAAGCCAAAATAATTCCGGAAAAAAGAAGAAGAAGAAGAAGAAGAAGCTCAAAGATCATGTCAAATAAGGATTGTCTACTTTCTTGATGAATAGCAAGCTGATGGTTCGTGGACACTAAAAACAATAGATCATGTCAAATAAATGATACTGGCATCATGACTAAATTCTCCACATAGGCATTTTCAATTAGTCCACAAGTTCTCTAAACGACGACTTGGACCCTCATTCGGGTAGCTTCCCAATAGAGTGATTGATAAAGTTCAGTAGACTTACAAGTTTTTCCCTGTCTTAGGCTCGATACATTTCCAGGTAGCCATTAGAGATAACATATTCACGATTTCGCAAGTCAGCAACTCTCCAATCAACTTGGTTCTTACTATTGCACCTCCTCACAGTTTTTTATTCCATTATCAACCATGTCGATGGGCATTTCACCCGGCACCAATAGCTTAGGCCATCGCCCTTCTAAAAGTTCATTGAAATTACTAATGTAGACTTAACTAAGCATTATATCATATGTTTTCACCATCAAGTATATTAAGATCTTCCCCTCCAAAAATTCTGGTCTGATTACTGTAGCCAAATGATCCACTACTCACTAAAGGACGGTTTACTAAATCAAATAGCTTAGGTTTGTTTATGCCCCAAATATAAAATAAATCCCAATTCAAGTAATGACACATAATACATCAATCAAATCAATAAACTCAATTAGGTGGTTACAACTACAAGATGATTCCTAAACCTTCTAGATTTTCCTTAAGCACAGTTCCGAATTCTTAGATTCTTTCGACTTTTTAAGGCCCTGCCTTTCTCTCTAGTCAGTTATCCCCTTTTCTCCCCTTCTTGAAAAGGGGCTACCCATATAACACCCAAGGCTTTTTCAACTCACTCCTTTCCATTTGATATGAATTCGTTATCAACTCAACGAAGTTCGAGGAAAAACAATAGCAGAGATTCTTCAATCACGCATTACAACAAAAACCCCTAGAGTAAGCAAATCAAATCACAAATTCAAACAGTTCAAACTCGAAAATCAAGGAAACCAAATTCCAAACCGAATTCAACCACACCGAACTCGCAACCGATCCCCGATTCCCCGATCCCCAATAACACTATCAGAACCTGAATTCAAAGAAGACGAAGTCAATTTCTCCAAAATCGAAAAATTACATTACGCAATAGAAACAAGAACCAAAACTTACAGAAACAGCAAAGAAACACAAACAAACTAACAACAAAAGCGAGAAATGAACACCGAAGCAAAAGCTCCAAAAACAAAAATCACACGAATTAAGCAAGACACATCCACCAAAATACCTACTGAAAACTTCAGTAGAAGTTTGTAAACATCGCATTACGGAAACTGATGGTGGAGAAAGAAAGAAGATAGAGATCGGAGGAAGAGGAAAGCGCGTAAAATTGAGATGGAAAACCTTTGGTGAGCAGAAGCTAGGGTGAGAGGCAGTTGATGGTGCGCCGGCGGTGGCGGAGGTGGAGGAGGATGGGAGTGATAGAATTGCAAAAGCTCTTGAAGCTGACCGATGAGCTGCCTAAGCATGGCCAGGCCTTCCATGCCCAGAGAGCTCCCCCTTCTCTCTCTTCCCTTTCTTCCGAGCTTTCTCTCTCTTCTTTCTTCCCTTTTTCCTGCTCTCTAAATTAACCTCTTTCTGGGGTGTTTTTTTTCTCCTTTGCATTTGATCAACCAATCACACTCCGCCACGTCATCCTGCCCACATGATTTTTCCATGAATGTACTGAACCCGCACGCATCTTTCATTTCCCCCCCTCCGTTAACCAAATCCTTTTATTTATTTATTTTCTTTTCCCTTTTTTCATTTTCTTTTTCACTCGTCTTTTCTCTTTCCTTCTTCCCATTTTACCCCTCTCTCATTTTTCTTCTTACTCGACGGTTCGGTTCAACCGAACCGCTTCGTTTTCCCCCTCATTATATCAAATAACCTTAAATTTTAGATTATATTTCAATTACGTCATTAATCTAATTTAAAATAAAAAATAAATACTAATAAGATATTCCTTCTGTTATTTAATCATATTAGCCATTTTTTAGCGTTATATTTAATAATTATTCAAATATATTAATGTCAACATAAAATTAAAAATATTATAAAATCTTATTAAAATGGTTTGAATTAGGCTTAATTATAATTAGCTATTTTTAATCGTCATTTTTAAAAATATATATATAGTATTTGTATATTTAATTTGAGGAGGGGGCGGACCGGGTTAAGAAAAGGGTAAAAGAGTAAAAAAAAAAATGGGGGAATTAATGATGTAGATTCGGGGGCAAAAAAGGAAATTAAAAAAGTGGAACAACATGAATCCACGTGTGTGTGGAGAGAGAAGGGATTGGATGGTGATGAGAAGACGGTAGATGAGGAAGATGAACGGCTGAGATAAAATCAATCATAAATATATATATTTTTTATTTTATTTTATTTTTTTTAAGAAAAAAGGCACACGGCATTGAGTGGCCCACCAGGTAGGTTTTATTATTATTATTATTATTATTTATTTTATTTTAATTTTTAATTTAATGGGGAAAAAAATAAAATTGAGAAATAATGATTTTGTTAAAATTACGGAAGTACCAAACCAAGTTGACGGACCCCGTCCCGCTCTCTCTTTTTTCCTACTCATTCCTCATTATGCTCATTATTACCCCTTCCAATTATTATATTTCTTTTTTTTTTTCTTTTTCTTTTTCTTTTTTTTTTTTTTTTTCATCTTTTTCTTTAAATTAAAATCATCCCACTCATTTCATTTACACTTTCTCTCATTTACCAAATAATAATATTTTTACAAAATTACAAAAATACCCTTCCAATTTATGAAGTTCATGCAATTATCCCTTTTATTTTTTTTAAATTACAAAAATTACTTGTAAACATTTATATTTATTTACATCAAAGATGAATGAAATTAATAAAATAAGATACAGGGGTAAAATTGTAATTTTACAAAAAATAAAAGTATACGAATAAATTTGTCACTAGTATATGTAAAAAGAGTAATTTAACCATACAATGCCACGTATTTATAATTAAAATTTTAAAAAATATAAAAAAAATAAAATGTGATGAATTTTTTTTGGGACTCATTAACGTTATATCTTAATTAAAAATTTAATTTTTAAAGTATGAGAAGCTCAACCACATAATTGAAGATCATGATCATGGTTTTCACTTTTATTTAAATAATAAAGAAAAATGGAGAAAAAAAAAATTATTCAAGAAAATCTTTATTTTGTTTAAGATAAATATTTAAAAATAAAATTTCTAAAATAAAAAATAATTTTAATATTACACTATTAAAATTTTATATAATAAATAATATTTGTGTTTGGTTTCAACCAAATTAATTGTTATTAGTTAATTATTTTATTAAGTCAATGTTTTAAATAATTAAAAAATTATATCTCTTGAATTTTATTTTTTTAATTTATTTAATTATAATCTTAATAATTATCCTCAAATAAATTAATTTTAAATTTAAAGAATAAAAAAAGAAATCAGTTATAAGAAAGACATAAATTTTCTTTTTAGTTGACGAGCTTCTGAAACTCGACCTATTCTTCTAGGTCTCGTACATGTTAATAGATACTCCCGTGTTACTATTATATTTAATAATTTATTTTAGCGTTAAGTGGGACCAAAATAAAGGAGAAAAATACCTCTCTCATTCAACCAAAATAAAAAGTAAAATGTACTTTTTTTTTTTTTTTTATTGGCCTTTTTACTCTAAGTTTGAAATACAAAATAAAACAAGACAAGTTTATTGACTCGTTGACTAGGCCTATTCCCTTTTGACCCACTCAAATGAATCCAAATCATTAATTTTCCTTTTTTTAATGAAAAATAAATAAATTTAATTATATAATTTTTTCAATTAATTATTTAAATATTTCGAACTTAAATATTTTAATTATAAGAGTGTGGAAACTTTCCCCTAATAAAGCCCGAAAGGGAAAGTACAAAGAGGACAATATCTGCTAGCGGTGGATCTGAGTCATTACATATTATATCCTCAAGTTCTCGTAAGGTTTGGGATTAAACCAAAATCTTGAATGTATTAATTTTATTAGTTCTATTACCAACTTTATATTATGAATCTCGGTAACTAGACAGTTTTGGACTCGACTCAAAAGGCTTCATACCCAACATGGTTTCGAGTTTTAATTAATGTAAGACTTATATTCGCATCCCGAGCCGTCAATTTTATTTAATAAAATAAAATAAAATAAAAAGTTGAAACGAGCTTTAAGCCCCAAGCTTTTTTGCCCTAACTTGTAAGTATGTGCTTCGTAGCTACCAATTTTCCCTTACCTAATAAACGGTTAGAATTTAACTCTCAACCTCCATTTATTTTTTAAAATATTATTTTATATATTATTATTATTATTATTATTATTTTGGAAGCAAATACAGCCTAAAGTTGTTGGGTAAATCATGCGACAAGCCCTACTTAATGACGTGGCAAAATAAATAATAATAATAAAATTTATTGGGGGACAAATTTTAATTTTTATTAATTTTTAGTTTTTTCGTAAAAAAATTTATTTTTCGTTTTCTCAATTTTGTCCCTATAATTTGAAAAAAATTCACTTTCTATTCTGTACGTTAATTAAATTTTACGCGTTTTTGTAACCGAATAACAAAAAAACAAAACCGACCTTAAACTGACTTTGACTTTATAACGTATTTTCGGCATGTTTTTACTTTTAGTTCAGTATTAAAATGTATAACGTATTTTTTTGGCATTTTCTTATTTTTAGTCGAGTATTAAAAATATTTAATAAATGGGACCTACCATATGAAAACGGATACCACATGAATCGTGCTAATGAATTATCTTTTTTATCTTATTTTTCTTAAATATGATTTACTCGAATTAAATTGCCAATGAAATCTCTAAAACAATAATAATAATAATATTGATTGAGGCACAAATTTTAATTTTATTATTTTTTAGTTTCTTTCGTAAAAAAATTTATTTTTGGTCAATTTTGTCCCTATAATTTGAAAAAATTTCACTTTCTATCCTATACTTTAATTAAATTTCGAGTTTATGTAACCGAATAACAAAAAAACAAAACGGACTTTAACCTGACTTTGACTTTATAACCTATTTTTGGCATGTTTTTACTTTTAGTTGAGTATTGAAATAAATAACGTATTTTCGGCATGTCTTTACTTTTAGCTGAGTATTGAACTGTATAACGTATTTTTCGTTTTGTCAATTTTGTCCCTATAATTTGAAAAAATTTCACTTTCTATCCTATACTTTAATTAAATTCACGTGTTTATGTAACCGAATAACAAAAAAACAAACCAGACTTTAAGCTATCTTTGACTTTATGACGTATTTTCGGGATGTTTTTACTTTTAATTGAGTACTGAAATGTATAACGTAACGTATTTTTCGGCATGTTCTTACTTTTAGTTGAGTATTGAAACGTATAACGTATTTTTCAGCCTGTTTTTACTTTTAGTCGAGTATTGAAACGTATAACGTATTTTCGGCATGTTCTTACTTTTAGTTGAGTATTCAACTGTATACCATATATTTTCGGCATGTTTTTACTTTTAGTTGAGTATTGAAACGTATAACGTATTTTCGGCATGTTTTTACTTTTCGTTGAGTATGGAAACATATAATGTAGTTTCCGGCATGTTTTTACTTTTAGTTGAGTACTCAAATGTATAACGTATTTTCGGCATGTTTTTACTTTTGGTCAAGTATTCAACTGTATAACATATATTTTCGACATGTTTTTACTTTTAGTCGAGTATTGAAACGTATAACGTATTCTCGGCATGTTTTTACTTTTAGTTGAGTATTGAAATGTATAACGTATTTTTCGGCATGTGTTTTACTTTTAGTTGAGTATTGGAACTTACATTGCATTTTGGGCATGTTTTTACTTTTTAGTTTAGTATGGAAACGTATGACGTATTTTCGGCATGTTCTTACTTTTAGTCGAGTTTTGAAACGTAAACATATTTTCGGCATGTTTTTACTTTTAGGCGAGTATTGAAACGTATAACGTATTTTCGGCATGTTTTTACTTTTAGTTGAGTATCGAAACGTATACCGTATTTTTCGACATGTTTTTACTTTTAGTCGAGTATTAAAAATATTTAATAAACGAGACCTAGCATAGGAAAACGGATACGACATGAATCGTGCTACCTAATTATCTTTATCTTATTTTAATTTACTCGAATTAAATTGGAAATAAAATCTCTAAAACAATAATTTAAAAAAAAATGGAAAAAATGGGAAGGGCAGGGAAGGTAAAAAATAGAAAAAAGTAGGGGTAAAATGGGAAAGAAAGAAAAGAAGAGAGAAGAGGTTTAAAAAGAAAGAAAAAGGAAAAATTGAATGATTAGGTTTGGCAAAACCAAGGAAGGGATGGGGATGGAGTTGAGGTGGGTAATCATTTCTCTTGTCTAGGGAGGAGAGAGAGAACAGATACCCCTTTTTTTCTTCTAGAGAGAGAAAGGGTATTTTGGTAATTTTACTAACTAGGAATGATGATGATACATCATGATGGAGGGAGGGTTTGGATGATCATTATGGGAATTTGGCTTTGCTTTAAGCTTTGCTCGTGTGTTCAATCCTTAGGTTTTTAGACCATCTTTATCACTCCCACTTTCTACTAATTTTGTCACCGGTTGGAACGACAACGAGAACGAAACATTTTTTTTATAAGAGTATAAAAACCTCTCCTAGTGGACATATTTTAAAAATCTTGAAGGGAAGCTCGAAAGGGAGAGCCGAAAGAGAACAATATTTGCTAACGTTGGGCCTGGACTGTTACAAATGATATAAGAGCCAAACACTAAGCGAAGTGGGAAGACACGAGGTTGGATTTGGACGGTTACAAATGGTATAAGAGCCAGATACTAAGCGAAGGGGGTAGACATAAGGTTGACTCACTGTCTACCACTCAAAAGTATGAATAGATAAGAATACAGATTTAAGAATGAGAAATAGAGAAATAGAATTGGGATCGAGGTTCTATCTTCATTGATATTCACCACCTTTAAATAAATACAAAATACCAATTAATACGTCCAAATAAGGAAAATATAAGCTAACTAAATTTTCGGAATAAAAACTGAATCTAAGATATATTCTATAACTAATATATTTTCTAAATATTATATCTTGACTAATTCAAACTGACAATGAGTTGCACTAAAATTTGATAGAGGTAGTGTGGGAGCAAGGACGTTGGGTCTAAAAAGAAAGTGGATTGAGAGGTCCCACATCGAATAGAGAAAGGAACGACTGCCAGCGAGAACGCTAGATCTCACATCAATTGGGTGGAAGAACAGAACATTCGTGTGAAACCTCTTCCTAATATAACCATTTTAAAAAACCCGAGAAGTCCAAAATTTTTGTAAAAGCATAAAGAGAACAGTACCTGGTACTAGTTTTGTAAACAAATGCAAAATAAAATAAAAAAAAAAAAAAGCAATTTAGTGGAACAAATAATGGGCCTGGGCTTGTGATGTCGGCCCAGAATACCGCGTTTACATGGAAATACAGACAATTTTGCATATTATGCATTTAATTTTTTTAAAATATTAATTTCATAAAATAAGGATTAATTACATAATTTTCCATTTTAAATTTATTTTTCTTCTTTAAACCACAAAAAAAATTCGTAAAAATTAAGGAAACAATTACACGAAATAGGTTATTAAAGACAATAAATCCCATTATTCAATAATAGAGAAAAATTAAAAAAAGAAAAAAGAAAAATTAATAATAATCACACAAATCTATTAAATGGCTTCCTTCCAACCCCAGCAGGCAAGGAAGCCGTAGACTCCAAGCTCAAATTGCTCAAAGATTGCAAAGATTGGATCTTGTTCAAACCCATTTGAGCATTCTTATCACCCGAATCCTTCTTTGAATTAGAGAACAAATTGGGTTTGTTCCATTTGAAACCAAATGAAAGCCTTGTTTTGGAAGAATGAGTATCAATTGGCGGCGGAGTGGCGCAGCCTCTTAGCTTGGCTTTGGCTGAGACTGTCGGTGTCATGTACCGTGGGACTGTGAAAGGAGGGCAGCTCGTGAGGCTTTCATCATCTTTGAGTGCTACATCATATGGTGAACAACATTCAGCTCCATTCATGCTGCCTTTTGGTCTCGAATACCATCTCGAGCTTCCGCCCGGCGGCGTTCGGAACGCTGCCGGGGAGTTTCGTGTCGGTTTTGGGAGGATTTGATGGTGTTTGCTTGGAGTTTGAGGTGCTTGGAGGAAGTTTTGTAGGGTTTGGGGCTCTGATGGTGCGGTTGACGGTGGTTGCTGGCGGTCTAGCCAGTTCCACCACCGTGGATATCCGGCAGCTCTTATGTCTGCCATGACGGCTTGAGCTGAATTTGGACTGGCCTTCCATAGCTACAATGGAAATTACTTAATTTTGAATACAAATTGAGTGAAAGATAAGGTAGTTTTGAGGGTAATTTGGTAAAGAACCTGATGGGAATAAGCATAAGCCATGGCTCTCTCCCTTTTCATTATGGCTTCAGCTTTTCTTTGCAATCTTGCTTCTATTTCTTCTCTTGTAAGTAAGCTATCATCCCAATCTTCTTGGTTAGCTGCCTCTGACTGTATGTTTATATTCTTCCATTCTTAGTTTTAAAATTGAATCTAAAAGCTTGTTAGCTTAAATATATTTGGTATTGACTAAAACCGACACGAAACCAAAAGGATGTGTAATAGGTCAATTTTACTCGGTATTGATCAAAACTGACACATAATGTCAAAAGGATGGGTAATAGGTTGATTCTACTTAATATTGACCAAAACCGACACGAATTTAAAAAGATGTTGTGAGATCCCACATCGGTTTGGGAGGAAATGAAACATTCTTTATAAGAGTGTGGAAACCTCTTCCTAGCATACGCGTTTTGAGGGGAAGCTTGAAAGGGAAAACCCAAAAAGGACAATATCTAGTGACAGTGGGCTTGGGCCGTTACAAGTGTGTAAAAGGTCAACTATGTTTGGTATTGACTAAAACCGACACAAAACCAAAAGGATGCATAATAGGTCAATTCTACTTGGTATTGACCAAAACCGATGCACAACGGAAAGGATGTGTAATAAGTCAATTCTACTTGGTGTTGACCAAAACTGACACAAAATCAAAAGGATGTGTAATAGGTCAACTCCATTTGGTATTGACTAAAATCGACTCAAAACCAAAAGAGGTCAACTTTACTTGGTATTGACCAAAACAGACACAAAACCAAAAGGATGCATAATAGGTCAATTCTATCTGGTATTAACTAAAAATGATACACAACCAAAAGGATGTGTAATAAGTCAATTCTACTTGGTGTTGACCAAAATTGACACAAAATCAAAAGAATGAGTAACAAGTCAACTCTATTTAATATTGACTAAAACTGACTCAAAACCAAAAGGAGTATAACATGTCAACTTTACTTGATATTGACCAAAAATGACAAAATCAAAAGGATGTATAATAGGTCAATTCTACTTGGTATTGACCAAAACCAACACATAACCAAAGGATGTGTAATAGGTCAATTCTACTTGGTGTTGACCAAAACTGACACAAAATCAAAAGGATGTGTAATAAGTCAACTCTATTTGGTATTGACTAAAATTGACTCGGAACCAAAAGAATGTATAATAGGTCAATTCTACTTGGAATTGATCAAAACCGACACAAAACCAAAAGAATTTATAATAGGTCAATTCTATTTGGCACTGACCAAAACCAACACATAACCAAAAGAATGAGTAATAGGTCAACTCTACTTGGTATTGACCAAAAGTGACACAAAACCAAAAGGATGTATAATAGGTCAATTCTACATGGTATTGACCAAAAATCGACTCAAAACCAAAAGGATGTGTAATACTCAAATTAATCAACTAACTCGATTAGTTTGGTTGATACCCTGTTAAAATCACTACGAAACTCAAAAACTCAACTCCATTTTCATGCTAGGGTTAGTCGAATCTTCCTCGGTTCATTCTTCTACATGGCTAAACGAAAACAACAAGTAAATCAAAACAATTCGAAAAACGAATGAATGAACTCACAAGTTGAGTGAAGCCCAGTTTGGTGCCTGAAGCAATGTCGAGGTCGTTGTGGTTAGGGCCGTGATGCTGGCGAGCTTGAGTGTCAAGCATTTGAATCCTCCGAGACTGAATCTGAGACTGAACCCTAACCAGCAGCTGCATTTGCTTCATTGCATTCATTGTTTGCCTCTTCACATTTTGGCCTCTCACCACTCCTTGAAGCCTCACCAACCCCTTCAAAGCTCTAAAGCTCCTCCTTGCCTATAATAATACCAACCAACAACACCACCAATCCCGTCAACTCGAATCTAACTTATTTTAACGAAGATATAAGTTGAAGAAGAACTTACGACGTAGCCTCGATACGCAGCTTGGATTTTAGTTGCAGATGCATGATGGTATCGGAGAGTGGGTTCGGGTCGAAAGCGGAAGGTCTTAGGGCGGTTTTTGACTCTAGGAGGCGAGACGGGCGGAGAGGGTCGTCGAGAAGAGAAGAGTCTTGGAGAAACATTTCTAGGAGTAACAAAGGGAGGAGTTGGTGGTGAGGAAGGCCTAAATGATACTCTTTGTTGCTCTCTTTCAAAGTCCAAGAAGATCTTCTCAACACTACTTGGCTCCCTAAACAAGGGAATCAAGGAATTGGACTCTCCATGCTTTAGCTTTCCAACTCCCTTATTGCTCCTCTTCTCAAATTCCTGCTCGAACGTATTTTTTAAACATAATATTAACCGTAAAGATATTTTTTATTTTTTTTAAAAAATTTATTATTGAAACTTTTAAAAGTTTAAGATAAGTGTCGGTTTTATTAATTTAATGAAAAAAAGGAAAAAAAATTAACGTAATAGGGCAACTCTGTTTGGTATTGACTAAAACTGACACAAAAACTAAAAGGATGCATAATAGGTCAATTCTACCGGGTTTGACCAAAACTGATATACAACTAAAAGGATGTGTAATAAGTCAATTCTACTTGGTGTTGACCAAAATTGACACAAAATCAAAAGGATGTGTAATACGTCAACTTTATTTGGCATTGACTAAAACCGACTCAAAACCAAAAAGATGTATAACAAGTCAACCTTACTTGGTATTGACCAAGACCGACACAAAATCAAAAAGATGCATAATAGGTCAATTCTACTTGACATTGACCAAAACTGACACACAACCAAACGAATGAGTAATAGGTCAATTCTATTTGGCATTGACCAAAACCGACACATAACCAAAAGAATGAGAAATACTCAAACTAATCAACCAACTCGATTAGTTTGGTTGATACCCCGTTAAAATCACTACGAAACTCAAAAACTCAACTCTATTTCACACTAGGATAAGTGTCGGGTATTTTTTAGTTCTCGTAAAGATATTTTTTATTTTTTTAAAAAAATTATAATTGAAACTTTTAAAAGTTTAAGATAAGTGTCGGGTTTTATTTATTTATTAATTTAGTGAGAAAATAAAAGGGTAAAAAAAAATTAACTTACATTTGGTGGCTTTTCCTTGGAGTTGGGTGTAAAAACCCTCTTTATGGCAGCAATCCATCTTCCTTTTTTACCCATGGGCCTAGCATTACTTTTTAACCCTACAATACAAATTCACAGTAATAAGAATATATATATATATATATATATATATATATATATATATATATATATATATATATAATTTTAATTTTAATTACATTTTTTAAATTATAAATTCAACCGTCTTTATAATTTTAAATATTAGAATTAATTCTTATGATTCGATAAAATTCTCATAAATATAAAAATTTATCAAATCAAATAGACTATTTATGAAATTTGATCTTACTATAAAAATTAAATATTATTTTTTTGTTATAAAAAAATAAAAAATTGCTTGGAATATATGAATAAAAAAATATATTTAGATGAGATTTATTTTAATTTCTATTAGCTTAAAATTATATTAAATTTTTATTCGCTTCAAACTCAAATTAGTCAACCCGAACCATAAAAGCTAGGTTGAGTTGTTCATATTGAGTTCGATAGAAATTTTTGAAATACTGAGAATCCTGGTCGGTTTAACAAGTTGACATTTTTTAGTTGGATCAATTCGACCAACTCGAAAATAAAGTTACAACCCAACTCTACTTTATTCTACATTTTAAATTATTACGAAAATTAAGAATATTCATCGTTCGTAATTGATGTTAGTGATGTACCGTGACTTGTACGTGATATGTAAGATATTATGAATAATTAGAATTTTTTAAATAACTAAAAAAAAAATCGGATATCCAATCCAACTCAACTCAACTCAATTCGAAAAGATGATCCGTATACACCTCTACTGATATCAAAAATTTAAATATTTTTACGAACAAAAAAAACCCCACGAAGATTTAGATCTTTCATTTATCAAAATCTCGAAGAAATATGAACAAAGATGAAGAAGAAACACAAAGATTGAACAAAATATAGATTAAAAGCTATAAATTTGTACCTCAAAACAAAGGTTGGATGGATGAAGAACAAGAGAGGGGAAGAACAGTTCTTAATCTCTCTCATCTTTCTCTCTCTAGCTTCATAGCTTCAAACCAAAATGTTGTTGAAATCTGTTTGTGAATCAAAGAAAACAACTTTAGATCTGTGTTTGGTGTATGAAATTCAGCCTTCTTTTTCTTTTCACCCCCAACCTTTCACCTTTTCAAGCGTTTTATAAACAAACAAACAACAGACTTAGCCATTTTCTTACTCAATCCTACCAACTTTACTTCAATGGTAAGAATAATTCATCATCATAATCTATCCTTCCTTTTTTTCATCATTATATTTCATTTTTAATCGTCCCGAGAAATTGAAATAGTTATATAACAGCTCAACCCTACCGCTACCACCTGGGAGAGGCTTCCACACTCTTAAAAACAATGTCTCGTTCTAATAGATATCTCATCTGTTGAGTTATCGGAGCCTTTAATTATATTGGGTTTTTTTTTTACTTACTTTCAACTTTGATTCATTTTGATCAATTTAAGTCGGTTGGACTCATCGAGCTATAGTCGGGAAAAGTTTGACTTTTTTAGTCGAGAATCGAGAGTTTGACTTGCATTAGGGTTCTTCACAATTTTTTTTAATGAGGATTAAAATAGAATTAAATATATATAATTGGTTTTTAGTACAATATATGCAAAAATAAAGGTATTAGTTCAAATTTAACTTTTTCAAAAAATTAATTTATTAACAGGGCATTTAATCGTGTACGGGCATGTGCTGCTAGGATTACTATTACTCCACGTTTGTCAGAATCTTATTGGTGAGATCGTGGGGCCAGAGATGAACAGCGTTTAAGGATGCGACAAGAGACGTCGGATCAGAAATTTCAGAGAAGCAGGCGATCCTGGCACGTGCTTTGTTCGTTATCATATTTTTGTATTTTTATATTATTAATTTAGTCTAATAATTTATATTTAGAATTTTATTACACATTAAATTCAAATTTATAATTAATTAATTAATTAAATTTTAATTTTTTTAAAAAAATTAATAATGTAATTTTATGGAATTTAATTAGGTTGGAGGAGAATAAAAGAGATTATTTTTGTGTATAATATAATTCAAGTTAGTTAAAACCATCCTATCTATATTTATTTTCTTTAATTTTTTTTTTACAAAAATGTTTGGTGGGACAAAATAAAATATACATATATTTTTTATGTTTTTGTTTGGAATTCCAAAATTGCCCTTTTAGGGTTACGTGCAATTTATGCCGATAAATATTCGTGTTCGGTTCTACATTAAAACGTTATTCTTAGAATCGTGATAATTAATAGTAATTGCAATTGTGATTGAAGTCTAATCGGGAATTTTCGATGATACAAGTAGTTTTTAGTACAGAGGACATGAATGAATCGAGATTGTACCTTAACGAAAGTAATTCTACGTTGGGTATCTTTTAAGGAACTTTCTTCGAATGAAAGCATGTACCCTAATCGAGACCGCACTCTAATGAAAGCATGTAAGCGAGGACAAAACATGCTAAAAGAACCCGTGTCGTAGGGACATATCGAGACGATCATACCCTAAAATAATAAGGGTCATACTCATTGATATTGATTACTCAACCACTAAGCTTCCTTTGAAAGTTGGTAATTTAGAGAGGGCTTTTAAGCAATACTTGATTCCCCAATGGTGCAATTGATTGGCTTCTAATTAGGTCAAGTTTGGATGTACCAATAATTTATTTATTTATACTATTTTTTTAAAAATAAATAGATTTCAAAGTTTATAAAAATATTTTATTTAATTCTCGACTCATTTGATCATTTAAGTTGACTTAACAGCTAAAGTCAACTATCAGTCAAACGGGTATGTTAGTGAGAGGTTTTCACACCCTTATTAATAATATAAGGTTCAAGTACAACCCAGATCCACCGCTAGTCTTTGGGCACGGGTATGCTAGTGAGAGGTTTTCACAAAGGGTTCAAGTACAACCCAGATCCACAGCCAGAGCAGATATTGTCCTCTTTGGGCTTTCCCCTGAGGCTTTAAAATGCGTCTGCTAGGGAAAGGTTTCCACACCCTTATAAATGGTGGTTTGTTCTTCTCCCCAACTTATGTGGGACATCACAATCCACCCTCCTTCAGAGCCTAACGTCCTCGCTGACACTCTTTCCTTCCTCCAATCGATGTGGGACCGCTCCCAAATCCACCCCCTTTGGGGCCCAGCGTCCTTACTGGTACACCACCTCGTATCTACCCCCTTCGAGGAACAGCGAGAAGGCTGGCACATTGTTCGGTGTCTGGCTCTGATACCATTTGTAACAACCTAGATCCACCGCTAGCAGATATTGTTCTCTTTGGGCTTTCCCTTCCGGGCTTCCCCTCAAGGTTTTAAAATGCGTCTGCTAGGGGAAGGTTTCCACACCCTTATAAATGGTGGTTTGTTCTCCTCCCCAACCAACAACCAATGTGAGACATCACAGTTTGTCTCTCCAACTGATGCAAAATTTCATAAATACATTTGGTCCATGTGTATCTGTTGAACGAATTAATGACAATAACTCATTAAACACAAAATTAAACGAGCACAAAAGGAGTCATTAATTTTGCAAAAAAGAACGAACACGAAGAATCGAGTATAATACACGTATGTCATTGTTATTCCTCAGCTATAACCATTTTGCTAAGAGGGCTTGGACCAAGCTTCTTCCTTCTCATCAAATTCCTCTTCCTTATAACTTCCATTTGGTTTCTTCTCCTAACTTGCATCATAGCCTCTTCTTCCACGACGAATCTCCGCATCAAAACGTCGTCGGTGAGGGACTTTCCCCGGAAAACCCGTCGACTATTCTCACCGCTAAGTCGAGGAGTTGGAAGAACGATGTTATTAGTAGTAGTAGTAGGAAAAGGCTTGGATCTTGGATAGCTATGGCTTCTCCTTGGTGGGATATCAGCTTGTTGGAAGATTTCATTGTAAGAAGAGATGGGTGCACAAAGACATACTCTTGTGAAGGAAGTTGCTATCTTGAGAGAAGTGCATTTTCTCATTTTGTTGTTGTTGTTGGAATTGAATGCTCCATTTGGTGATGGAATTGGGTATTGATCTCTTGGTTTTGAAGATGTTGTTCTCCATTGGGTTCCTACTATTTCCATTGCTCTTTGATACCATGGCTTCCTGTGGAGGAGTACCCATTTCATATCATGCATAATACTCATTGATATCAACTTTTTTGGGGAAAACCCTTCTCTTAAAACCCTAAAATGGTGCACAATTTGGGTTAAAAATTTCAAATTTAGAAAAGATGAAACAAAAACGGGTTTGTTTCGATCGAAAACATTTCAAAATTACTCACGTTAACCGTATCATTTTTTATTATTTATAAATGTTTCAAAACTACCCTTAGAACATATAAAAAAAAAAAAAAAAAAGTTGATATTTGAATGTCGTTCTTTGAGAACTAATTCAAGGAGATATTCTAATGGATATCTACTTCGATCGTCGTGTTCGTAATATGTTTAAATGGGCCAAGCATTTAAGCCCAAACCCAAAAGTCTTAATGGCCCAATTCTACTTCCACCTTCAATTTTACACAAATTTCTAGAGAGAGAGAGAGAGAGGCATGAGGTAAAAACCCACAAAGAAAAACACTCATTGCCTTCAATTTTACACCATTTCTAGAGAGAGAGAGCCATGAGGTAAAAACCCACCAAGAAAAACATTCAATTGCTTTCAATTTTACACAATTTCTAGAGAGAGAAAGCCATAGGGTTAAAAAAAACTAATTAGGAAGATGAACGTCTACCTCCCTAATTTAGAGAATGATCATAGATTTATAAATAAGGAATAGATCTCAATCGACTTTTCAGAAAACTGAAAGCAAAGCCATGAGAGCTAATGTTCAAAGGGGACAATATCATACCGTTGTGGAGAGTCGTGTTCGTCTTACATAACCCACGAACAAAACCTTAAATTTTACCCAATTTGTAGAGAGAGAAAGGCATGAGGTAAAAAACCCACAAAGAAAACCATTGATCATCTTAAATTTGACACAATTTCTAGAGAGAGAGAGAGGAAGCCATGAAATTTGAATAGGCATAAGCTTTAAAACCCAGAAAAGAAGTAACCCACATCATTAAATTTGGGTATAAACCCTTAACTTCAAGAAAGAAAGAGAGAGAGAAATGCACCTTGGATTAGAGGCGTTTGGTTCAGGCATGAACAAGAGGTGGTGAGTTTTGAATAACCACACACACTCCAAGATATTCTCATTTAAGACCTCACTGTTTCACACCACACCAGCTAAGAGCTTCAAACCTTCCCCCCCTTTTTTGGCCTCAAATTCCACTCAATCACTTACCCAAATATGCCTCCTCCTCCTCTCTTCTCTTTTAAAAAATAAGAAAAATTCAAACGCTAAAGGAAAAGTAAAACCACCCTTGCTTTTCCGATCGACATGGACCCTCAATCCACCCTCTTCGAGACCCAACGTCCTTGTTGTCACATCACCCTGTTTGGCTCTGATACCATTTGTGACAACCCAACCCCTCTACTAACAAATATTGTCTGTTATTCTCTCCTGTCAGTGTGGGATCTCCTAGATTATATTGCAGAAGAATGTCATTACGTGTCGAATCTCGATGATCATGGAGATGGGACATGGGGCATGTCTTTTTCAAGTGGGATATTCCTAAACTTTTCATCCTCTTGCTTCAATTATGACTCACAAAAGCTATGGATTTTGATTCATAAAACCACAAAAGTCTTCCAAAATCTTGTTTTTTCACATCATACATCTTTAATATGGATTAATCAATTACTAACCCTAGTTTACACAAATTTATTTAGAATGTTATATATATATATATATATATATATATGTAAAAGAAGCTATGAATTCACCTTTTATTACGTCATTTTTGAATTGGGTTTTCAAAAAAAATGAAGAAACCAGAGAAAAATAGGGGGAAAAATAAAATTCTAAATTAAAAAAAAGAAAAAGAAAAAAAAAATGTTCCACCTTTTAAGGAGGAATAATGATGGGCATGCATGTTATTCATAATTTAGCAATGGTTGGCATCATCATGATTAAGGTTGTGCGTTGTGGATGCTCTAAAATTCACAACTCCTTAAAAGCTGCTACCAACCTAAAAAGAGGATATGATGCAATTGGGTTAGCTTGGGTCTTATTTTCGGGTCGATCGGGTTAGTCTAGTTGACCCGACAAAAAAACTATCAACCTGCAAATCGACCCACAACTTCAATTTTCCAAAAGTTCAATCTAACCCAGGAGTAGTTTAGGTCGGTTGAAATCTCTGATCATATGAACACCCTAAATTCAAAACCGAACATAACTATAGGTATAAGCAATCAGTATATATGAAACATAAACTCAACTTCTTAATTTACGGGAGTCTCGTGTCCACCTCGAATTTTTTGTTATTTGTTTTTTAAATTACACTCGGATTCAATCTTGAATATTAAAATAATTTAGTTTATATCATTATATGTGTTAAAGTTGCATGTGACATAATTATTCTACCACATGTTTAGGTGTATTACTATTATTAAGTTCAAATTAAAATTTTAAACAATATGGTGGAGTATTATTTATGTCTTTTAAATATTAAAATTTATAATCTCTTTTAATTTCTACGAGCCAATATGTCACAATTTTAATTTATAACGGTTAAGTTGAAATGTAATGTTTTCGAGACATATGTCCCAATGGGCCCGAATACCTATAAATTTAAATTTAAATTGATAAAAATTGAAATTTTAAAGTTAAATTTGGTTGGTCAACAAAGGAGAGTTTGAAAATTAAAGCCTTTTATATCTTTTTCTTTATGAATATTGGGACGTAAAAATTATTTTGTTAATATTGAATTGAATTTAGGAACTTTCTTAAAAGAATATTTTGACCCGAAAAAATTATGAATGAACCGAGATTACGTTCGAATGACTGTAATTATGTAGATATGAATGTGTACAAAATTTATGGTAAAAAAGGCTTCAAACATGGCTGCTAATTCAACCTCGACTTTCCCGACTTTTCTACGTCGATCATATCCTTTTTCTTTCCAACCCTTTACTTATTTCCTTTTTGACTTTTTGATCTGTTACCAAAATTTATAGTGAAATCGCGTTAGAATCGAGTTAACTAAGCTTTTTGTTGTAGAGAGCGTTATTGTACTTTTTTATTTAGTCCTTTCACTCTCGATTCTTATAATATTTTGATTTTAATTTTTTATTTTCGTAACAAAAATCTTGGACACCTGACTCTCAATTAAGTTTTTTTTTAATTTTTTTTAAAAAAATTTAAGAATATTATTGAAAATTTTAAAACCAATAAGTATTTTTATTAATTTTGCATTAAATAAATTTTCAAATTAATTAATTTTTAACAAAAAAAAAAAAACTAATTTTATTAATTAAAAAACCCCATAAAATAAAAAAAGAAATTGATTTAATTTGTTAAAGAGAACGAAAAATAATAATGATATTTTCAGTGAGTTTTCAGATCGTCTGGAGACTTAACTTCTTCCCCACGGTCGACGGTCGACTCAGAGATGCAGCTATTCGCCGATGTAAAGAAGCCCGCTACGGTGGTGGCAATGGCGGCATGGGCGGCGGCGATAATTTTCATGGCGTCGATGCCGTTGGCTTGGTCAAAGGAGCAACTCAGCTCGAGAGAATGTGAGGATCTAGGTTTCACTGGCCTCGCTCTCTGTTCTGATTGCCACACTTTAGCTGAATACATCAAAGATCAAGGTGATGCGCTCGCTCGATTCACAGATCACACGGTTTTTCGAAACGCATGGTTGATTCGGTTTTGTATTTCTGGATTACTACATCTCCATTTTTCGTGGATTTTATCGTGAATTCGCAGCAGCGTAATGGATTTTGTTCGTTTGTTTTCTCAATTCTCCGCGTTTCTTTTTCTTTTGAACGATTGATTGTTCTCCTTGTGGTTGATTTCGATTATGGATTTCTATTGCTTGATTTGGATTTTGGAAACAAGAAATAGGTTGCAAGATGTTGAGTTAAAATAGCCTGTTGCCTTTTAGCATCATAGTTAAACAACGTGCGAGTTTATAACTGAGTTATGCAGAAAAATTTGAAAAAATGTTATAATACCAAATGACAACTCTGGCAACACTGGATTTGTGAAGGCTGCATTATGACTTCAAATAGTCTTTATCCAAAATCCAAATGAACAAAATAACTGATAGTACTCTGAATCTGCAGTTGTCTCGTGTCAGTTTATGTAATGCAGTAGTTTTGAAGTGCATTGTTCTTAAAATTACATGCTGTACTCATTTCCAAAGTTGTTCTGCAGAATTAGTGGCAGACTGTTTGAAGTGTTGCACGGAGGATTCTGATGATGCCACGAGTAAGGTACGCAAAATTTATAGATGTGCTGATATCTCGAGTGTAAGATCCTACATCGGTTGGGAGGAGAATTAAACATTCTTTATAAGGGTGTGGAAACCTCTCCCTAGCAAACATGTTTTAAAAACCTTGTGGGGAAGCCCGAAAGGGAAAGCCCAAAGAGGACAATATCTACTAGAGGTGGGCTTGGACTGTTACGTCGAGGCTGAGTTTGATCTGCTATTCCATTGTGAATAGTGTATTGTCCATGTGGTAGACATCTCGATTGAAAACACATTAATTTAACATAGTATGCTGGATTAACAATTTTTGCCTCCATGTAATTATAAAAATTGTGGTTCTAAATAAGGTTTGAGTAAACAATATCTACTAGAGGTGTACGAGAGGTGTCATAGTGATCAATTCTAAAGGAATTAGACGACTCTATTTAACAACTCAAGCTCACCTCTAGCAGATTTTGTCATTTTTTGGTTTTCTCTTTCGGGCTTCCCTTCAAGGTTTTTAAAACGTGTCTGCTAGGGAGAGGTTTCCACACCCTTATAAAGAATATCTTGTTTCCATCTCCAACCGATCTGGGATCTCACAATCCACTCCCCTTCAGGGCCCAGCATCCTCGTTGGTACTTGTTCCCCTCTTCTATTGATGTGGGATTTCCCAACATCAACTAGCGGTGAGCTTGGACTGTTATACTCTATTTGGTCAAATACCTTGCAACATACTCCCACTTTTTTCGATTACAGTATCTCAAAACAAATTTCTTGTTCCAAAATTTTTGTCCACCATGGCTGATGTTTGAGAGATTCCTGGTATACATCCAGAATAGTGAGCCTCTCCAAGAGATTGAATTTTGAGTTCCACCCTTCACCAAATTCAGTACTCTGTTGTTGGTTGAATTTCATAACTAATTTGATTATGTCCATCTTTTCGTTAACTAAACAAAGGATGAAAGCCAATTAACTAAATTCGTTAACTGCAGATAACTTATTCTGGTGCTGTACTGGAGGTCTGTATGAGGAAGCTAGTTTTCTATCCTGAAATTGTTGGCTTCATTGAAGAAGAAAAGGATAAATTCCCTTCTGTTAAGATTCAATATATCTTCAACTCTCCGCCGAAGCTGACTTTGCTGGATGATGAAGGCCAACATAAAGAGAGCATCAGGTAACTTCTAAGTGCCCAAAATTTTCCACTAAAATGCTTATGGAGAAGACCCCGTTAAGGTCGTGAATGTTGATGTTTCCTTTTTATGAGAACCAAACTTTTAATAAGGTACAAAAGAACGCAAAATAAATGCTTAAACAAAAAAGTGAAACTAGAGTCTGAAAAAAGAGCTCTAATCATTAAGAATAAGAGATAAGACATGGTTACAAAATACTTCTGGAGTTGGATAGACCCTCGAAGAGGGAGATTAAATCTAGCCAAAAGCCGCATCTCCCTCGAAGGTGTTCCACTTTATGCCTCTAAAACTCTCTAATTTCTGTTGTAAATGTTGATGTTTGCCCTACTAAACGACTTGTTATCTCGTCTAGAAGAACGCTTGCAAGCATCCATAACATAGAGTTCATATGATATCTTTTAGAGCAAAATCATGGAGAATATGAGTAGTACAGAAATATAAATTTTGCTTTAGCTTCCGGTTAATGATATGTCACATAAGATGATATAAGAAGTTTTTTCTGCTCTTTTTTCCCCCTTTTTTGCAGGATTGATAACTGGAAACGTGAACATATTTTGCAGTTCCTGCAAGATAAGGTTAAGCTATCTTCAGCAATTTAAGGTTCTCATCTTCCTTGTTTCTTTAATATCCCTGTAAAAAACTCTAAAGTCTATTGTTATATTGTAGTTTTCTTTGATACTGCAATATGTTAGTATCGTATGTTTTTCTGTGTTTGGGTAAATTTTATGTTTAATTTCACAAACTCCTTCGAACACTCTGACTTCAAAATGAAGAAGGAAAAGAAAAGGAAAAAAATGACAATAATGTTTGAGTATTCGAATGAACAGATGATATCCAAATAGATGTGTTAAATGGTACAAACACTCCACACTCTAGTATACAAAGATAAACGGCAAACTCCTCTAACGAGTTAAAAGGTTTGTGAGTGCTTCTTCAAAATGTCAATTCGAGGTTTGCTAAGTAAATCAAACCAATGCAGAGAGAGAGGTCTATACATAATTCTTATTTACATTTGGCTCAACTCAATGAATATTGATAGAATCTTTTATTTGAATATGTAATACAATGCATATAATGACGTATCCTCGTACATCTCATGTTGTCATAATATATCACATCATCATAATCATAACAACATAATATATCATATCATCACAACATATCATCATATCAAATATTTGACATGTGCAGGGGCCACTGATTATGTATCATCATATATAAGACAATTCTTTTGATCGTGCTGGTAGTAGGGCAAGGCCATTTACATGTGTAGGGGTCATTAGGCACGTGTCAAGACAATTCTTACGGTCGTGCCGATAGTAGGGCAGGGCCACTTACATGTGCAGGGGTCACTAGGCACGTGTCATCATACATAAAGACAATTCTTACGACCGTGTAGATAGTAGGGCAGGGCCACTTACACATGCAGAGACCACTAGACACGTGTCATTATACATAAGACGATTCTTACGACCGTGTCGATAGTAGGACAAGGCCACTTACATGTGCAGGGGCCACTAGGCACGTGTCATCATACATAAGACGATTCTTACGACCGTGTCGATAGTAGAGTAGGGCTCTAGACACGTGTCATCATACATAAGATGATTCTTACAATTGTGCTGGTAGTAGGGCAGGGCCACTTACATGTGAAGGGACCACTAGACACGTGTCATCATACATAAGACGATTCTTACGACCGTGACGATAGTAAGGCAGAGCCACTTACATGCGCAAGGGCCACTAGGCAAGTGTCATCATGCATAAGACGATTCTTACGACCGTGACGATAGTAAGGAGGGCCACTAGACACGTATCATCATACATAAGACGATTCTTAGGACCATACCGATAGTAGGGCAAGGCCATGGGGCCACTAGGCATGTATCATCATACATACGACAAATTTTACAATTGTATCAATAGTAGGGCAAAGCTACTTACATGTGCAGGGGTCACTTGACACGTGTCATCATAAGACAATTTTTGACGATAATTTTTGACGATAGTAGTACAGGGCCACTAAGTTCAATATCAAAGTTCATAAACATTTTTTTTTATAAAAATTCAAGCCAAAACAGTGATGATAAACCAAATTTATAGTTTAAATAAATTATAAATCAAAAGTATTAATAGTTATGTCGAATCTAATTTCTTTCTAAAATCAATAAATTTCATCAAATTAATTTAACATTTCAAACACATAAAACCAAAAATAAAATTGTTATCCAAACGGATTTAGATTGATCTAACATAAATTTTCTCAGATGATTTACAGATTGACCAGCTATTTGATCCATCAAGACATTCATAAAGAACATTATGCTACTTGACAACTACTGATTGAGAAGATAAAAAAATAACTTGAATAATACAGATTTCCTCATGCCCGTAATACTCTCAAGAAGACAAAACTGGTACAATCCCATTGTTCTAACTCTTAAACCGGATGCTCCGACTGATTCCTGTGTTAATTCCTGTCGTCTCTCCACCGTACGAATGAATAGGCTGCTTAACTTCTCGGACTTGACCTTTACGACGATTAGCTGCATCTTTAAACTTCAACTGCACCATTCACATTCACAAGTACATGAACAGAAATGTAAGTAGAAATTTTAATGGAGGGAGAAATGTGTTATAATGGTCGAAGGGTTGATGATTTGCATATATTGTAAGTACCTTGTATTTCTTTCTTGGGTTCTTCGTCAACTTCTTTCGAGGTCGAGTTAAGCCTCGGTTCTTCTCCATCTAAACACATCGTGTGAAAATGTAAATGAATCCATGTGCAACAACTGAATCGAAAGAGGAAAAGCTGGTGGAGAGGAAGGTAGTACTTACTTGATAAGTGATTTTGCGTTTTCCATCCACAGTTTTCGGAGACGATGGAATTTCCGTCGTCCTGCAGAAGTTGTTTGTTAGACAATGTTGTACATTAACATATGATATTAAAGAGAGGAAATGTTAAACTTCAGCTTTGGTGATAGAAACATATGTGATATATAAAAGAGTCGTACAGTAAAGTGTGATAGAAACATACCTGGAGTAAATTTCAGCCTTGGCAGCAAGTTTTGCAGCACGTTGTTGTTTGACTTCCTTGTAGAATTCATCTTCAGAATCTGCTTCAACATTTCCTTTCACATCCCCCTCGTCACCGTCGCTTTCACTCTCAAGAACGCTAGTGTCGTCCTTTGACTTGAATCCAGCTCTCGCCAGCATTTGAAGTTCATATTTCCTCCGTCGTTCCCCAATATCATCTCTTGTAGGCAAATCATCATCACCAGAAATGACCTTCAAGGAGTTAACCAAATAAGCATAAAATACTATTAGGCACAAAAGTTCTAAATGCAAGGCGTCGTAATTTAGAAACAAATCTTTATATCCCCGCACGAAAGTTCTGCATCTGTTATGCATCACATTCATGTCCATGTTGAATTCATTATTTGAACAGTATCTTGAAATTCTAATACTTGGATATGAACACATGAACACTTCTCTTTGATTGCCTCTAACCAAAGAGAGACAAGAGAATGTATAACCAAAGAGTTAAGTGTTTCTTCTTTTTAATAGTTGTAACCCTCCCTTCGTCTAGTCCTGTCTGGCTTTTTTCTTTATTTTAACTTGGCTCCTCTTGGTTTGGGCTATCCTTTATTTTATGGCATGGTTGTATCATCTCCCAAAAGTATGGTTTTCTCATAAAGAAAAAAGAAAAAGATTAATGCTCATAGTCTCCAAGATTGAATTGGCTGTTTCCATCAAATTCAAACCTTAGTGAAACTCGAACTACGTTTATGCAATATGTGCAAAAGGTAACCCAACTCCTCGTATATCCAAATAATCCTTATTAGGGGAAATGAAAGGGTCAAGTTGATATATATCGTTCAAACCTTTGGCTTCTTCAGCTTGGCGACAACAAGACGGGTGAGATCTGCTGCACCGGCAGAAGTATCTCGGCCCTTCCTCTTAGCAGCTTGAGCATCAGTATCATCCTTAAAATCGTCATATGCTTCGAGCTTCCTGCATGGTCCAAATAGGATAAATTATTTGTCAGAATACAAGCGAATAATAAGTGAAACTCCATATTTTTTGAGTAATAGTCTCTTTTCATCACATCAATGAAAAGTACCGATTAATTGGTTGCAGGTGCTTCATTGCTCCATTTTGCTTTGGTTCAATTAGAGTGAAGTCCTTTTGTTTTAGCTTTTCTTCAAGGAGGGCTCTTACTTTTAACATTTCCATGCTCTGGACACCCATTTGATTGTCCTGCAAATGTAAAAATTAAATTAAATAATAAATGATAAATAAAAATTAAAGAAAGCCAAATAGAAACAGGATGATAAGAGCAATTAAGAATTATCATAAAAGAAATCTCATCAACGTATTTAGTAGTGCACATTGCACAATTACCACTTGTTTATGCTTTCCTTCTTTCTTGCCTTTCTCCTTCAATTTATCCACGTTGTCTGACCCGGTCTTTGCATTGGGCTGCATAAGAAACAAAATCTTACAAGTCAAATTCTGGATGCATATACCCTTCCAACGTACATAGCCATCGACTTCATCAGGAATGATGATTGATCAAAATTCAAACTATTTTTAACTCTCTGATTTTAACTTTAAACTCTAGTCAGAGAAACAATTTAATGAATTTGTTATTTTAATTATTCCATTTACATTTTATATTTAACATTAGATAATATTCATCACTGTTTGTGTCACATATTCAAATAAGTTGCAGAAACTTATGCGGAAAAGTAAACTACTGTGCGCCTAGCAGAAAACTATTTTGAACGTAACCCATAAAAGCCTAAATATTGTGTGTTTCTGCTTTTGCAACTATAGAAGCATTCCTGATACTAAAGATTAACTCAAATTTGAAGAAAGAATATAGGATATCATATAATGTTAAATAACCAAATAAATAAAACAGTCCACAAGAGAAAAATAATGATATACGTGTAGGTAGATGCAGATCATTATCCAAATGTGGGTATGTATCATTGGAACATATGATAAATTTTAAATCTCAAAAACAGTTTAGAAAACTTGTCAATGTTTGCTATTTTAATGAAAACAACACACGCTGACTCAGAAAGGTAAAATATTTCTTCATTATTTTCCCTTGGAACAAGTAACCAACAAAGGATAAACCTCAAGTAATATATGATGTTGAGATACATAGACATGCATATAAGACATTACGGCATCTTAAAATATGTATAAACAAAAACCTAGTGTTAGATTGAAGTAATACCAATCCCACTTCTTGGCCATCAGAAGCGTGATGAGAAGACCCCTGATCTTTTGTGAAGAGCTCAGCTAAAACAGAAGCATGCTCTTTGTTCAGTTTTACATCTGTTTCTTCTTGATGATATTTGTTAATGATCTCTTCTAACTCAGATGGAAGATTCTCGTCAAGTTGTTTCACCTGTGAGATACAGAACTAGTTCACACTTGCAACACTGACAGGTGACATAAATAACAAAAACAGACAATATATCGACCCTCATGACAGCACTACTTGTTTTCATGCATAACAAAGGAAGAAAATATGAGGCACTTGTCATGCTAGGTAAACTATTTTCATACGATGCGACAACAACAGGCTCATGGAGAAAAAGAATAGTTATGATTTGATGGGAAAAATCATTTAGTGGTTAAGCATATAAAACTGAATTGAGAGGTAGGAGGGAACCTTATCCAATAAGCTTTTTATCTCTACAAGCCGAGCTATTACAGGATGATCTCGTACTGCTTGCCCTTCAGACTTCAAGAGAAGATAGAAGGCTATAGCTTGGCAATAAGAGAGCAAAATAAGCTGCTTTAACTCCAAATATTGCAGTCCTGCTCCCACTGCAATTTTCCCGTTTTTAACCTAAAGAAATAATCAAGTGTAAAGATCAGTAAGTTAGTAATGCCCAACGTCATCTAAGTAAACAGAAAATCGATCGAATACAAACTTAACACGGCAGAATCCTAATAAACTCTGTAAGGAATATGGAATTTGTTCTCATTTTAAATAATTATGTTCAATAGGAAAAAGTACCTTACTAGCGTTGAGCATGCATGATGCTCAATTTTAGGTGAACGAGAGAAAAATGTACCTTGTTTAAAACTGGATTAATTTTGCTCTCAAGTTGATCCACTGCTTCATTCAATTCGGACAGCAAACCAATTAACTCTGGAGCAGAACTGTAATACCAAAATTTCACGAGCGGGAGATGTAAGAAAGCCATAGAGAACTTCAACTTCACAAAGAAAAAGAGATCGAGCAAGTTGTAGAAATACTTGGTATGATCTTTTTGAATGGATTACAAACTCATAAGCAATTCCACTATCACTTTAAACTCAATTAATACAGGAATAGTAAGGCAGCCATTGCAGGCAATTGAGAAAGCTTTGACCACAGGGGGAGGCTGGTTAAAGTGTCATGAAGGTGATGAAAAACTAAATAAATAAATAAGCAATACCTGTTCAAGACATCCATCTGCTCCTCCCTTGTAAGAGAATTCACGTCTTTAGCAATCTCCTGATATGTGGCATTCATATCATCTGGAGCTTCATTTCTGGTTGAAGTTTTTGGATCAATTCCTTTTGCAGATATTTCCTGTGATGGCAGAAATTATAGTCATGTAAGCGTTCGTTGAGTTTATAGTTCGATGAGCGAAAAACTACTCCAACTGATTTTTCCTTTTTTTTACTTGAGAGATATATTTGATAGTTCAATACAAGAGAAACAAATACCTCTAGAGTTAACTCCCTATCACTCTCATCGTCAATGCCAAAATCTTCCAATGAGAAAGTTTTTGCTTTCTCCTTCTGCAATCGAATTACCTCTTCCTCCTCTTCGGCAAGGGACTCATCATCACTTGATTGGATCTTCATCGAGTTAAAACATAAAATATTATTTCAACTACAATTTGAATTCTATTTGATAAAATGAAACTATAAATTAAAGCACATTGTATTGACAACACTAGAAAAGAAACACGGTTCCATTCAGATTGACAGTCAAACTCAAAAAAGATGAAATGAACCAGTTAAGTAGTAACAAGAAAAAACCATAATCTTTAGGTCCTCACTTCAAAATCACGATTATCAGCATCATAGTATTTGCCTTTCCTTCCACCCCATATAGTCTTTTGTTCTTCCATGTCCTCATCTTCATCCTCGTGCATTTCATCATCTACGCCACCAAACTTTTCCCGCAAGAACTTCTGTTGTCTGGCAACTATTACAAACAAGCAAAATTGGATCAGATTAACAGATTAAAAAACCATAATTATGATGAATATCCAAAATTGGGTCGTGTCATGCTGCCTCTTTTTCTTAATATAAAGTTGACTTCAATGATAGATTTTTTTGACCCATGAGTTGTTATCTGTAGCAAAAATGAGCAGAGACAAGAAATTTTGAAATATATTTACTTCTCAAACCACGTCTTACTTTTTGCAGCAAAACCAGTATCACGGATATCTTCTTCATCATCATCTTCATCTTCATATTCATCTTCATCTTCATCTTCATCTTCATCGTCAACACCCTGAAAAGATAGAGCAAATGTAAGTATTAAGGAAAGTTTAGTGGGAACTGAAAGCTCTCGTACAAGGATTAGGGAAAGAATCAGACTAGTATTGCAATGCACAATTGCACATGCAGTCTTTTTACTATGGAACCAAAAGATGATTGTCTTGATCCAAATAATAAAAAAACCATTACATTGATATGGTGAAATGTGTACAAAAACCCTACCGACTTGTAATTAATAAAAGGTACTTCCAGTGAGTAATGAGAATAGACATGCTATAGTTAAAAAAAGGAGCCTATTCACTCCAATACAACGCTAAAAGGGAGTAGCCTCTATAAAACTAGATGTCTTTTTCCTTATTTAAAGAGATGATAATTCCATTCAAGCCACAAACTCTAAAAGAAAGCCCAACCGTATGATCATCACCTCTCCCTCCCCAAAACTTTCAAGTCTATCAAGGATGAATTGTCAAGAAAAGGGTTGTTGCCTATTGGTTCAGGGTGACAAGCCCACATTCCTTCTTGTCACTGCTCAAAGAAATACATTCCTCAATCTCTTGCCAAAGATAAATGATACGTACCTAAATCCCTTCCTATCATCTAAAAATTTCATGTCCTCCAAAGTTCAAAATAAAATACATACATTTTTCTTCTGGTCCTCGTGTTAAGCTCGTCCAAACACAAGAAATATCAGAATCAATCACTTTTTTTTTTTTTTTTTTTTTGAAG